CCCGTTCTCCGGTCCTGCACAGTGCAACCATGCTCATCAAATATGACCCGACAACCGGTCTCTGCTAATTTCCCCACAGATACAAGATTAGGGACCAATTTAGGAACATAATGAGTATCTGGGAGGTGAAGTCCTGCCCGACTAATAGTACCAACACCCTGAGTAGGCAAACAAGCCCCATCGGCAACATGTAGCTTAATAGAAATGGCCCTCCGAAGTGTACTAAATGAGGGACGGGAACAAGTCATGTGATTAAACGTTGCAGAATCAAGATGCCAAGTAGCGAAAGGAGAAGATGGCATACCAGCTGCAAAAACGGAACCCAGTGCAGAAGGCAGTATCTCCCGAACATCCTCCTGCAACATGGTGCGAATGGCATCTTGTGTGATACCTGAACCTGGAGGCACGGTCGCACAGCAAAGGCAGCTCCAGCAGGCGCCAGACGAGGACCCGAAGCAGCCCGCCCACGACCTCTCCTAGCTAAGACCGGACACACCCCAATTTTATGATCATCCGCTTTACAGTATTTACAAGAATTACGCTTGGGACAGTGGAGTTGAACGTGACCAGGCTCACGGCAGAAGTAGCAGATTACTTCACCTGAAGAAGAACAAAGAAACTTAGGCTTGGCCGAGCCCACCGCAAACGCTGACTGATCGGAGTTGGAGGAAAAGCTTGCCCCAACAGCAAAAACGGCAGTGGAATCGGCACTATGGAGGTCCAACTTCGCCTGACTCCGGAGCCAGGTTTCTTCCCTGATTAACTCTCCCAAGACATCCTCAAGCTTTGTAACATTACGATGCAGGAGCGATGAACGAATCCCTTCAAACTCAGCCTATAGCTTCATTAGAAAATGCATCGTACAAGAACTCGTTCGCTCCTTAAGAACCTCAGCCGAGGCAGCCCCTAAGATGAGAGATGACGTCAGAAGATCATGTTCCATCCATAAATTAGCCGCAGCCTGGTAATATGAACGAATGTCCATGTCTCCCTGACTCAGCCGAGCGATCTCTACCTCCAGCTCGAACTTCCTCGAGGCACTAGTCTGAGAGTGGAGCTCCGTCAAATGGCGCCACATAGCATGGGTCGTGGGAAAGCCCCGCAAGCTCAAAGCGATCCCGGAATCAACAGAAGAGAGGATCCAATGAGTAACCTGAGCATTGTGAGCAGCCCAATCCTCTTTTTCCTTCACTGGAGCAGAATCCGCAGGGTCAGGCTGAGTACCATCAAGAACAGAAAGCATTCTACGACCTTGTACGAAAACCCGAAATTGAAATTCCCATAGAGAAAAGTTCTTCCCATTGAACTTCACTGCAACCCCATCCATCTTCAACGAGTCCATGAGATCAAAAGAGACAACACCAAAAAACAACCTCACACAATAAAGAGAGCAACAAGAAGCACCAGCAGAACCATGGGACAAGAAACCAGAAAGCCCACCTGAATATGCGCAGACAAAAACTAAATTCCAAAAAGCAAGAAGCAGCCTAAGAGATCAGCCGAAGAAATAAATTACCCAAACCAAAGCTGCGTTTGCGTCGCCTGCTGAACGAACAAGAACAAAAGCAGCAGAAGACAAACCAGAGCTGTGTTGACTTCGCCTGCTGACCGAACAAGAACAAAAGAAACAGAAGACAAAACCTGAATGCCCAAGAGAACAAGAAGCGGCGGAAGACAGCAGCTGAAGCCGACGCAGAAGAAAATTCCAAAACAAAGACCGAATCACGCGTGAGGCTCTGATACCATGTTAAACCAAGCACAATCAAGAAAGAACAACACGCGATTTACGTGGTATCCTCGACTAGATTGTCGAGACTAATCCATGGAGAGGAGCAACCTCTCAGAGTCAATCGTATAATCAGCTGTAAAGTCCTAAGGTTACACGAATGGCAGCCTCTAACCTATATACTCAGCCGATCCATGTTAAACCAAGCACAATCGAGAAAGAACAACACGCGATTTATGTGGTATCCTTGACTAGATTGTCGAGACTAATCCACGGAGAGGAGCAACCTCTCAGAGTCAATCGTATAATCAGCCGTAAAGTCCTTAGGTTACATGAATGGCAGCCTCTAACCTATATACTCAGCTGCCTAATCCTCTCTAGGCTCAACCATAATCACCATAATTAAAGTTAATATAGGATAATTACAATTTGCTACCTATACTTCTAAAAATAAAAAGGTCGTTGAGCAGCGTTTTATATGAACCAAGTAAGCGTTTTCTTATAAAACACTTTATTTATAGCGTTTTGTTACAAAAACATTACAATTGGGAGCGTTTCATGCCAAAATTAGTTATTTCATAAATTAAGCGGAAAACTTGGGTATTTGAGCAATTTAATTTATTAATTAGGACAAATGGAAGAAAAAAAAATCTAGAACTAATTTCTTGATGTTCATGGGTGCTACGTATTTTCACTACAACAAAACAGTACATTTGCGACGGTTTTCTGGGCAGTTAGTGACGGTCAATACCGAGGCTAAATATTTTAACGACAGCCAGCCAACTGTCGTTGACCCCGCCGTCCTTAAATAATTTTGCGACGCTTTGGTCGACCGTCGAGCTAACCGTCGAGAAACTTTAGAGACGGTCATAACCGTCGTTATCTTCAATGAACCCGTCGTTAAATAAACATTCCCATAAATGAATTAATGGCCTTGACGACGGTTAGAAAGGCAACCGACCGTTGCGAAAATGCACTTTTCCATTTTTTTAATCACCTGCTCTAATGGCCACACCTCAAACCTGTTGGAATATTTCTGAATATAAATATTTAATATATTTATTCAAATCAACATTCATTAAATTCTAATACCATCAAATTTGACTTTGAATTACATATCAAAGTTCATTCAATTCTATACCATCGAATCAACATTCAATTAAACAAATTAAACAATTTGTTCAATGTTATAACTCATACCCAGCAAATGAAAACTCCCACTTGCAACTCCTCTTAGCTCCAACTTTCCTTCATTAACTGGCAACTATGCACACACAGCCCATTCGAACCACTTAATTACCTGAGTACCACAAAGAAATGGGTAATAATTACTCAGAACATCGCACATAGAAGAGAGAATTTAGGTACAGTGAAAACTATGGCTAAATACATTATTACATACATAGACTTCAATCAGCAAATGTAAATAGAATTGAAATTTCATATCCTGTTTCAATAAGCAAATGTAAATAGCTTCTCATGGATTTCTAGTAACAGATAGCCCTTACAAATGCTCAGGACAAAGCTCAAAGGCTCTGTGTACACAGATCTATACCCGCTTAAGAGTTGTTGCTGATCGTGCCTTCAAATTTAGAAAGATTTCCCTGTAAAGCCAAAGGTATGGAGCAAAACCAGCTCAATTTCAGACGTGATTTTTGCTTGAGAACATCTCCCAGTTACTAAGTTTTCATCGAAATTACAGTGAACTCCATTGAACAATGTTAACCAGGTGCAAATCAAGAAATTAGAAGTGAAAGGAGCCATACCAGACGTGTTGGTCTGAAAGCACATGCACAGGTGAACACACATTAAACTGTCAGATTGATACAATGCATCTGGAAAATTTGATTTGCACTGCACACCGGCTCTTACCTTCCAGGAAGCATATTGAACAGAAGGTAAATCCTTCCTGGCTTTACCCTTCGAACGTCATGATTTTCCTACAAATAATGCTAACTGTTGTAAATAATCAAAGCTTTGATGACCTTAAACTATACTTTTATAAGACATTTAAGAACTACCATTGAGGGAAAAGTGAATGGAAGTACCTTATCACAACTGCCTTATCAGTAGCCTTCTCACCGATCACGAAATGAATCCCTCACCATTGCTGATAAGAAGAGTTGATAAGCAAGTCAGAAGAAGAAATGTTATCTTTTCCCTGGGGAACAAAGTAATGGTACTTCCATTAAGAAAAAGCTTGGAGACATTTGAACACAACAAGATTAATTATTTGAACCATAGAAGAATATCAGTCAAATTCGAGAAGCATGAGGCTTACGTAATTTGCTTTCTGCGATATCAAAGTCCGAGCCACTCTTTCAATACCATTCCGAATGAAATACCTAGAAAGAAAATAAAAGATAAACAGATTATGTGGCGGAAAGTGAAAAAGAATTGCAGAAGGGATGGGTAGTGGCTTTTAGATTACTTCTCCAAGCCCAATAATTAATATTATAAACATAGAAGACACAATTAAGGTTGATAGAAAATCTGAATCTATAAATAAACAAACCCATATGACTTTATAGCGAAAAACATAGATGTAATATGGTTAATGACAATTTTGGTTAACTAGAAATTGCACAAAAGCAAAAACATAATCTTTCCCTATTTTAGAAGAACCAAAACTATTCAATTCTAAAGGCGAAGTTAACATGGTTCGATCAATTGCTAGTCGATAGATTTCAAATACAAGGCATTACAGTTAACTAATACTAACTCTTATTATATACATTAAGAGCATACGAAAAACAACCCACGACTGAACAAAATACAAAGCAATCCAAGAGCCCCAAGAGTCTTATCTGGTCAAAAGAATCCAACATCTCTTGCATAGCATATTCATGTACCTATTCTAGGAAAGATGTAGGAACTTGTAAGGATAATGCTAGTGATTTTTAATTAGTAATTGGGGTCTTTCTGAAAGATTAATTAGATAAAGTATACCTCTGACACATGCTTGTCCTCATCATTCAACACAATTGTTGGGGTACATGATGACTCTTACTCCGTCTCCCTGCAAAATTAACCGCAACTCTGGTAAGCCACAACAGAACCAACAAAATTAGAAAATCAAAACTCTGGAAATTGGATCACTTCAGGTACCATGGACTTAGGGAGGAGGTTCTTGATTCAAACTTTTAGAGACGATCGTTGGAAAGGTAAATGAATTGGGTTGACCAAACATACCAGGAGCTATAGCTCTGCACTTGAATGTGGATGCGAGTGACAACCCAAATCAGCTTCCGAAGGCTCATCTCTCTTGTGGCGCCAACTCATCTCATGCTATCCCTGAGCTCGACACGTGGTTCAGAGCTGTCTCCTGATAGGTCCAATCCTGTATGTATTAGTCTTCACTTTCAACTCATAGATATATAAATAGATTATAAGAAATATACAGATCATGATACCTGGAGGAGATTTATCAATGTCTCCATGGTAGCAGTTTTGTCAGGTCCAATTTCATAGTAACTGATAATGAAACTCTGCCTGTAAACCAGCCTGTCCTCCACGAATCTTCCCATCAAGCAATTAGGGGACTGTGATCCACTTTGTAATTATCAGACGGAGCTCCTCCCTCCACTCTGGGGCTCCCATTCACCTTCTTCCCATTAACCTTCTTCAAGTCCAAGCTCTGTGGATTGTTTCTGGAATTTGCTCTAATGGACAGCCTTTTGCTGCTATTTTGTGCAACTTAGAATTAGAAAACTGCATAACCAAAACAGTATGCTTGCTATCATATTCTTTTTTGTTCTTTTTTTTTTTGCAGCCTAAGCATGTCATCTGAATGCCATCTGAATGAACATTTTTTGCAGCTTACATGGTAGAATAAGCTTGTTATAATGTCAATGAATGCAAAGGAAAGTTTAAAGAGGGAAGACAAATACCTATCAGCCTTCCTTTGGCAAATTAGCTTGCCTTCGGTGGGAACAGACTACCAAAAGATAATGTTTCAAACAAATAATTTCCTCTTCTAATAGATTATGCTATTTCAAGTAACACACCCAACAAAACATTAACACATGATGGTAACACCATGACATGACTACAACATGAAATTTTAGAAGATGGCAGCTTTCATGTGGACGTCTTCTTTCCCCAATCACCAATACAGCAAACAACTGAGCTAGGGATTGCCATAATAAATTTACAAAAATCAACTGATGCTAAAAGTTCATATGTTTAGGTTTCTTCTACTGTTTGAGTTACAGATGTTTGGTTGAATTGGAAATGAAGTGGATGATGCAGGGCAGAAAATAACTTACAACTGAATTATATTGAGTATCTAGAACATCTGTTTGAGTTACAGATGTTATTTGTAGAGTCTCTTACTTCGGCTTCTAGAACATCAACTGCAAATCTGAAACAAGGGCAAAGGATGTTCGGTTTAGTAAAGAAAACATTGTGCAAGTGTTATCATGAGCCCAAACAGGGGATCTTAGATGCTCACCTTGGACATGCACTTCTAGACTGATATAACCTGTTAGAAGCCAAGCAAGATTGGTTTATGAAATTCCTGTAAGATAACTTGCAAATCATAAACTTGCAACTCTCCATAAATTTCCAGCATGTATCCACTCAACATGCACTAGTCACGCACACAAAAAAAAAACTACGATTTCACCCACCCGTTATTGTAATTAGACATAATTAGACATGAGATCAAAGGAAGGAAACTGCAGCGGAGATTAAAACAAAGGAAGGAAAAAGCAAAATGATGAGATGATCAAGGAAGGAAACAACAGTGGAGAATCAATGAGAATTGAGAATCTAGGGTTTGATAGAAATCCTAATTGAGAGAATCAACTCAATCAAACGCCTCCTGAAATCTTACCTCGATTCAGACTTAGAAGATCGCGGTTTTAGCTCAGATCTTCATGATTGAGAATCATTACGATAAGCAGTGACTGTTCATCTCTGCGTGCCTTATCGTCCTTCCCATCCCAGCGCGTCGTAATTCGAAGGCAAGTGTGAGAAATCAACCTTCTTCTTCATATACGAGTTGTACAATTTGAATGGCTGCACGACCCTTCGTCGTCATTGACACAAAATCTGGTCAAATCTAGCATTTTCAATCGACGAAGAAGATAAGGCACTGAGACTTGAGACAGAGAGGCCATTGGAGGAAATCTCAACGAACTCTGAGCCTTTATCGCGTACTTTCTCTCTCTCCAGACTTTTGTCCTTTTTCTTTCAAAAATACTAATTTTAAAATCAATGGAGGATGGACAAACAATAACAAATGCATGACCGTGGTTAATATTGGATTTTCTTGTAGTGTTTTGTGGATCGTCGATATAATGGTATCCACGACTAGACATTACATTGTCTCTATGCACTACAGAAAAATGGGCTTTTGCCGAGGGTTTTGTAGCAGAGGTTCACCAAATCCTTGCTAGCAATTATGAAAATCAGCGTTTCTGCGGCTTGTTTCACGGGTTTGGAAACCCTTGGTAGCGAGTTACTCAATTCACTTAACTTCCCGAGCGTTTCTCTCCAATTTGGGAGACAATCTGGAGAACTTCTTTTCACCTCTTATGCTTCTTCTTCTTCCTCTCTTCCATATTCAACAATGAGCTTAAGAAACCGACTGGAGAGTTTGGGAAGAAGCTGCGAGAAAAAAAAATCTCTAATTAGTGTCAATTGGGAGGTTCATATCGGCGAGCTTCCCCCATAGCTTTCCCGACGAAGCTGATTTGAGGAGAATTGAACAACTTTCTCAAGAAGTTCTTTCCATCACAAGGTTATCTCTCTACGAGCTCTGTCTCTCTGAATTCTCTGCATTCTACGACTGAATCAGTGTAGATTTGTGTTATCTAAACCTGCTTTTTTGAACCACCGGAAGAAGAAACACCAGCTATGCTGTGAGTTCCAGAAATTGAGAGCATGAATTTTCATTGCTGAATGGAAACATCTGATGCTACGAGTACCATCAAAACAAGGTAAGAATTGGAATTCTCTTCCCTCCGATGCATGTTGAATGATTAGGCTTCTTTCAAATTCTTCATTCTGCATGCTCGTTGCACCTTGAATTCGAGATTGTAAGTTGCTTTGCCTGCAATTCCAAAAGGAATCCCTAAATCCCTCCTTGCTGCCTTAAATTTCACCAAAATCCATCTCCGATGCCCTCTGCCTCCTTACACTTTTCAAGATTCTATTCGTTGGATTCAGTCCATAATTGGAACTCTCAGTTTAATGACGATTTGCGTAGGAAGTTGTGAAACTTTCTTGAGGTTACATACTAATGTAGCTGGTTGGGGTATGTTTATAGTTAGTGGATAGAGTGAAGGATGGAACAATCATATATAATATATTGTCAGTGTCATGGAAATAGGTTGAATTCTTGATTCCCATTTCGGTAATGTTTTGTTGTTATTTGATAAGCATCCTTTCTTTGAAATTTCTAAAGATTTGTTACTCTGTATCTTTGCCATGGAACAACTTAAGTTAGGGACTACCTCTTGCTGCTCAAATAGATTTGTAGCTTACCTTTTGTCCCGGTCTTGGTTCTTAATAAGTGATCAAATAGATTTATGGCAATAGCATGGTGGATTGCTCAATCTTGTCAGAATGATAGTTGGGTTCATGCAAAGCTAGCATTAAGCATTCTTCATTTTTTCCAACGTTGATGCAGATACCAGTTACTTCTAAGTTGGGGTTGCTGAGAAATTTAACTACTGGTGAGACACTTAGTTCCTTCTTTACATTAACGGGAAATTGTGGCATAAAACTTCAAGCTGATTTATCTCTCATTTGTAGTTGGAGTCTCGTCAAGCAAATGGTTATTAAATTTGCATTATTACTCCGTGTCCACCCATGTTTATATTACTTAGTCGATGTATTGTTCCCCTAGAATTCCACCCTCTCATGAATGAACATCAGCAGTACAGAACTGTTGTAAGGAACTTGGGTGACATTAGTCATTACTCTGCATTCCCTTTGTACACTCATGTTCTCTTCTCTCAGTACCCTGACTTGTGATTATTGATTTTGCAGGAAGTTGTGGAACGAAGTGGTCTCTGCTAACGGGTGAAAATGAAAGCATATGAAGAGAAAAAGAGGAGTGTATTTAAGAAGGAAATTTTTTACTCATAATTATGTTGGTGTTCCATTTCAGGATCCAAAACTGACCAACCCAACATGGGAAGGAAGACTAGAGGAGGAGGAGGGTGTTTCTTGGTCTTGTTAGGTCGTAGGAGACTCAATAACAACAAGCTGCAGGGAGAGCTACCTGCTGGCTGTTAATCCTTGTGAACGCAGGGGAATTGAGGGTCATGTGAGTATAAAATGTGTTATTTCAATTGGCTGGATCAATCTCATTGCATTTTCACAATGGTATTATGTTGTTTTTGTGCATTGAACAACAAAAGGAATGATGGAAATTTTGTTTATGTATGTACAGGGATGTCTCTCACAATCTACTTCATGGAACTGTCCCGGCCCATAACAAGACAGGTAATTGATTTTCTCTGTTTTCATCAATTAGATTAATTAAGTACTGTTGTCTAATAATTTGTATGTATCTTGTATTGTGGAGGGACAAAGCTGATCGTTACAACCATCACTCAAGACCCCAAATCAAGATGGGCCTATACTGGTAATTGCATTCCAATCATCAGATGGGAAGCAGAATAATATATCAGGGCCAGTTGAATCTACGTTAAGCACCTCAGAAAATGCATAAGTGAAATCTGGGTAAGCTAGAGGTAATGTAATTTTTTGTACCTTGGAGTTGGGACTTGAAATATTATTCCGAAGTATTTACTGTTCTACATGCTTGGTAAACTATATAAAATCATTTGTATAATATGTGCAAGGTGTCAATGATTTTTTACTTTTCTGTTCTACCATGTACTTGTACTTGTATGGAACACTCTTCACTAATTTCTCTACAATTGTTCTGTTTCCCTTAAGGAATGGAAAAGTAGATCCCTTGCATTCATTCATCACAACTCAACATATCAAGCTTCCATTTGTAAGTTGATCGAGTACCTGTGAGATATATGAAAACTTCAGTTCCTTTAATTCACCTGCCAATTATTATGGGTTTTTCCATTACTTACTTGGCCTGTTGTAATTAAACAGCTTGAGTCCTGAAGTGCCCTGCAGGATCTCTTAAGAGAACATGAAATTAGGGTACTGCCATAAGTGCCCTTGCAACAATGCCTTTTGTCGTCTTTCCTTAGTAGCAAGAAAAGGCCACACTGTTCTTCTCTACCTTGGAAGTAAACAATACTTCATTTCTTCTCTATGGAAACAGGACCCACATCTATCATATTGCCAGTGTTACTTGGTTTCCATGGGGACGACCAACATTGTGAAGGTAATAAATCTTCTTATACTCATCGTTTAACGTCTCCAGAATTGCTGCTCCCTGCCTACATCCTAAACTTTTCCCTCCCTTTTGCTCGGCTGACCACCAGATATCGACGAATGCAAGGAAGGCATTGTTTGTCAATGTGATGGTTGTTCTTACAAGGACACTTGGGGATTGTGCATTGGTGAGACACCAAAAAACTTAATAAGTTGACTTTTTAAGTAGAAAATGAGAATCAAAACTACTATCTTGCTGTTCTCTTCTCTTATTGATTTTGCAGGAAGAAATAGTTTCAAAATTGGATGGTCTGTTACAAGAAAATTGAGGATTGTGCTTACTAATTTTGCCGGTTCTTTGAGGTCCTCTTTTTGGATTCGCAGTTTTTATTTCACCCTTTATTCATTCATCGCTTGTTGTTTCACTTGCAGTCATTTGATGTAGCAGACAATTCATGGTTGGTTTTGAGCTGCAACTTGCTATTAGGTATGTATTAGTCATGCCCTCTAAAACATATCATGTCTCTGTCGTTATAACGTTGGTAGTTGGTGATTAATCGCATGTTTTGTGGATAAGCTATTAACAGCGGAGAAAAACAAGATTAAGTGACAGCTGCAATTCTTGTGAGTTTTAGAGCATTTTAATTCTAAACAGTGAGTTTTGCTGTAATTGTAGAATTGATTTCTTCAAGCAGATCAATGTGACGGTAGCAATGATAGATTCCTAGTCCAGACAGGGTGCAAGTGTCATTAGGTTCTAGCCTGCACCCAACTCTCTAATAGGAGTTACAAATCATCAAGATGTAACTTTAGACGCTTTAGTGTTTAGAATATGTTTAGAATATTCATATGCTATATGAATTATAGTGTGTTAAGATTGTTAATCATTGTATGGTTATGGTGTGATTGCAGATCATAATAAGAATATTACAATTTATTGACGGACTTTTGTTTCTATTTAGTATTTATTTGGTGTTGAACTGTTAGAAAATTCAATTTGTTGTTCTCTCATTTGGAATGTACAAAGAGAACCCAATTTGGGTTCACATATAGTGACGAGAATATTTGAGTTTTAGTGACGACAATGTCTAGTAACAAGAATGTCGTCCGGAAACATGCAATTTGGCTGCACATTAGCGACGATATATTTAGTGACCGTTAGTTTAGCGACGAGAAAATAATGTTCGTTTGCTTTAATTTTGGTGAGTATAGCAAGGGTTTTAACCCTTGCTATGTATGCGTTTATTATCCCTTTCAATTGTAGTGACGTATAGCAAGGGTTTTAAACCCATGCTAATGTAGCAAGGGTTCAAAATTCTTGGTACAACCCTTGCATAGGACTTCCACCAAGAGTCACTCAAAACCCTTGCTACATGTAGCAGGGGCAGCTTTGCCAAGGGTTTGTCCAAGAGTTTGAAAACCCTTGCAAGATCTTGTAGCAGGGATTTAAACCCTTCCTATAGACAAAAATAACCCTTGTCGTAGACCCTTTTTTTGTAGTGTGGGTTGAATCATATCAAAGAGGATATACCTGCTTCTATCCTCGCGATAGTCTGAGAAGGGAATGCAAAAGAGTTCAACTTTCAACTCTCCAATCCCGCAACTACCGACCTTGGTCTCAATAAATCCTAAAACATGAAGGAGAGATAGGCCACGATAGGTAAAAACACACGCATTATTCAAACTAGCTTTAACATTTTATGTGAAAGGAGAGGAAAATTGATGATGTTTATAACCATAGTGAATGCAATATATTGTTGAGGACATCTACGTACGAAGAAATTTGTAATTGTCGACGTGTATGTAGCTTATAATATCCTTGTGTTTGTATCTGAACTGTTGCAGCATTGAATTGAGTATTTGGTTATACGAATCACACATGGAATTCGGCTCCTTGTCGCACTCTTCATTTCTAATTAATGTGTGGAGCCTTCTTGAAGGAGCACTGCCCAGTGCAGAGAGCCACAAGACTGCAAATGTATAAGCTCCATATGCGTATGTAGTCGCATAAAAAAACATCTTTTGTGCAAGAAATCTGTATATTGAAGATGAATTATATGACACAACAAAACCCCTCATCACAATCCTAGCTAGCCCGCTGGCCTAACCACTATATTTGTTACTTCTCACCGTATAATTAAATACCAACTTTTGATCATCTTTCTGGATTCTGTCTGGCCTTCAGAGCATTACTGCATGGTGCACCATGCAGGTAATTAAGCTTACGTGGAAACTAATTGCCTCACGTTCATGGGCTCCACGTACTTCTTAGGACCATCAACAATGGCATCCACCACAAGCCGATACGTCGCCTCCGTGGGATGAAGCCTGTCGAAGAACACATGTGTGCTTCTGTCTTTGCAGTACGCTGACAAAGGAAGGCAGAAGAACTGGGCTTCCAGTTTTCCAGCACCGCAGCACCCGGCCTTGGTTTCTGTCAATCCTGAAGCAGAAACGTACAACAACACATCCCATGGTTAATTAAGTACCGTTTGGTGAAGATATTTGTGTGAAAAACCTAAACAGAGAGGAAGCTAACTAGTACCGTAGTTAGCGGCGTTGTCGAGGAGATCTAGGAAGAAAGTGTAGGTGTCGAAGTATGTGTAACTGAGATCGGTGTGCTCCGATTTGAACTGCTGCAGCGTGGATCTGAGGATTTGGTTGTGGGCGTTGCAAAAGGAATTCAGCTCCGGGTCGCATTCGTAGTTTTTGGTGTTGAGCCTTTGTACGGGTGCGCACCCGATTGCTAAGAGCCCCGCCACGACGAACCTGCGAGCTCCATAACCGTATAACATCTGTGCATGTCCACCACCACAGCACAAGTTAATTCATCAGTGTTCAAAAAAGGACCAACGATGGATAGATCGATTTATTGCTTTGGGGATGGATCTAAGGTGACGAACCCCGTGACTCGCCGCCAAAACTTTTTCGTGACGGGAATTTTTCCCCACTTTTCATGACACTTTATTCGTCACTATACCCAGACATCATTCAATCATTGACTCTTAGAAATGAAGTTATATATATTATAGTGTGAACAAGAGAATGAATCAAGGAGAAAATGTTTAATGATTATACGTACCTCAAGCTGGGATTTGAGGGCGGAAGTCATCTGATTGAAGCGCTGCTCCGGTGTGAACTTCTTCCGAAGATCGGAGGATCCGTAATACGACAACATGTCATTGCTACCAATCACGATCAGAAACAGCGACTTCCCCACTGACTTGCTGGCGCCACCACTGCCCATCACCGCCGACAGCTTCGAGTATACCGTGGAAAAGTCCTCCACTTGCTCCGTCATCGAAATATGCGATCCCTGTAGTACACCAATAACAGCTGGCTAGTTAATTTCAAAGACTACTGAAACAGGACGATTAATATTGTTATGCATAATTGATTATGACTTATTAATTACCAGTTGGTTTCCGGTCTCATTGAACACGCCGGCGCCGGCGGAGGCGAAGTTCAAACCGGTGAGCGGGATGGAGATGGACCCATTCTTATCCTTCTTGTTCTTGATCGAGAGATACGGGGGCGGGCCCGGCAGACCTACTTTCTCAGCTGCAATTAATTAATTAATAATCACCCCAACCATTAATTAGTCCTCTAATTTAACCATTAAATAATAAAATAACGCTTAATCTTCCAGACCCTATCAAATACTATACAAAACAATGGAAGTGAATTAAAATAATGGCACCAACCAACAACACTAATCACATTGGCTCGTGAAACATGCATGCTCGTAAACAATATAATTAACAAGATTCCGGTGTTATCTTAATACCAAAAATTTCTAATGTTGCGGAATGGGTTTCTTCACAGCACTCCAGCTAAATTTCACAGGCCAACTATACACACCTGGACGTCATTTATATCGCGAATATTCTCTTAATGCTTACTTCTAATGGGAGATTCGTTTCTCACATCGGTTTATAGAAGCTAATTTTGTGACAGATTACACCACCGAGACCGTCCTTTTTCCTTTGCTTCATCGATCATGTGTACGTGTAATAATAATATTCAATGTTGGACGTGAAGAGAGATATTAGAGATAAATGAACGTACCGAGCAAATCGGAGGGGAGCTTGCCGTTAGAGAAGCGGCCGGTGGGCTTCTTGGTAGGGAAATCAATGCCGTAGTGTGGGTAATTGGACTTGGCTAGGGCCAACGGCAGGTAGTTGTTGTTGCCGGCGTCCACCACCGAGTCGCCAAACACGAATGTCGCCGGCACCATTTGAGCCTCCGACAAGCTGCCAAGCATCATCATCACCATCATGAACAGCAATAAGCTGCTACTAAGCACCGTTGCTATTGTTAATGCCATAACGATAATTAAGCTGATGAATCCCCGATGCCAAGGAAGGGAAGGAAGGAAGGATTATATTAGCTAGCTGGATATTGACGAGTATGATTGAGGAGTGATGAGTTTCATTTGTTTAGATTCCTAACATATATAGAGAAAACGGGGACGTGGTGAGGGATTTGACTTTACAATATTTGAGGTGTGAAATGGAAAAACTAAAAAATTGCTGACCCTAACGAATTGGGATATATTTCTGTGGCCGTAGTGGACTTTGGGGAATCGGATCTTGCTGGCCATAGCTAGCTAGCTAACAACTTCCCATTTATTGCCAGATTGTTGTCTGCATGTACATATGGCAGTATCTTATACGCCTCAATTTCACATGTCGATCAGATTTATATTTAAATATTTCAATAGTAGAATTTTTTGGGCATGACATCACACTAGGGTATCGTATTGTGGGATTTGTATGATGTATTTGGCATCTAAATCCCAAGCATTATGTATTTGGCAAAAAAAAAAAAAAAAAAACATTGTTTGTTGAGGTATACAAATCCTTGGAGCCCACGGATTTAGTTCTTTTTTTTACCCCAAATCCGTGAACCCCATATATTTGCAAATACCACATTTCATTTGGTATTTGGTCCATGGAAGGCAAAGATTTGTGAGCATGGTACAAAAACCTTTAAATCCATGATCAAAATCAACTAAACAAACCATGGTATCTTTCAAATACAAAATGCAACAACCCATTATAAATCCAAAGGTTTTTAAAACTCAAAACCTTCATTTTCAAATCCAACAAGCAGGTCATTTGTCACGGTCATTATTGAGTGCCTATTGAGTATATTGACCAAGGAAATTGATGTATGGTGTATAATGCTATTCATGTAATTAAATAGTTTATATTGTTTGGTTTATATGATAGTTATATTTTTATTTTTTACTTTTAATTTAAAAGAAACAACACATATACACATAAAATAGTTAGAGATTTATAGTTAGAATAAAAGAAAATTCAACAATCTCACCATAACTATTTCAAATAAATTATCACACATTTTAAGTGATATTAATTTCTAGCAAATTAAACAAACAATGCTTATATTATTTGTATAATTCAAATAAACGATATACTGTGAATAATACATACATCATAACTATTTCAATCAAATTGTTGACTAATCAACCAATCGTGGGGCAATCAGTCTCGTGTTCTTATGTTTATTTCTGCTTTATTCTTGTACATAGGAAATGAGTCTCTAGTTTTTTTTACTACAAATTTCAAAGCAGTTTTCTTTCACTCATATAACTATTCAATTTACTTCATCATCCCAAAAAATGAATAGAAAAAAACGGAAGATATCTATTCAATTTATTTTGCTTTCTTCTAAAAGAGAAAGCAAGAAGGAAATGTTTATGTTTCAACTAATCGCACGTAGAGATATGAATAATACGCAGAGAGTTAATGAGATTTCATAACTAATAAATTGAGCAGCAACTCATAGACCACCTAAAAAAGAATATTTATTATTTGATCCATATCCTGACATAAGAAGTAGCTGAGTTATTCGGGGAATGGATCAGGTCAGTAACCTTATGGTGAGTAACTATGAGTAACCCGTCCACATCAGCATCCTCTCTCTCCTGGAAAGCCTTTAATTTTCCCCTCCTTAATCTTTGACGGACGATTTCTCACTCGTTTTAAGTCGAAATTTAATTTTTTTGCACAGTTAGATCAGATTAATTGTGCTCTTCAAAATGATATCCACTTTGATATATTTTTCAAACAAAAAACATTGAGCCATTTTATACCAGTCTATACCATATGGTATTGATTGGTATTGAAATAAGAGTATACTTATGGTTTGAAAAGCGTACCATGGTGGTATGACACAAACCAAAACTGTAGGATGGTTGAATACATGATAGTAGAAGTATATTAATTGTCATTTACGACTTTTAACATTGTATATCATAAGATACCATAAGATACCACCCCGTACAAGGGTGGTATTGTGTGGTATTTTTTTGTCTTGTAATTTGTTCACCCAGAAATTTGTAGATCCAATAGATCATGATGAACTCGTCCCTGCTGTGCAAACGTTTTCAAAAACGAATTAAAAACGAAGAAGATACCATATGGTATGCAGTTGGTACCGAGAGGCCAGAATTTTTTTTCCTCAATAAATATTGAAAATTGATCTCATTTTGTAGAGCACGATGAACTCGTTCCATCTATGCAAAAAAAATTAAAATCCGAGTTAAAACGAAAAAGATATGAGTCAATTAAGAAAGCTAGTGAAATAAAAATGGCTTTTAATTCTCCATCCTTAGATCTGGATTTTCTAAATGAAGGGTCCAGATTTGATTATTGATGGGTGCATAACTAGAGGTGGCAATTAGGATCCAAATCCATGAATCCAATCCAATCCATCCACCAAATTATCCACTTAATCCAATCCATTTAAATCCAATCCATTTGATCCAAATCCAATTGGATTGGTGGATTCATTGATCAATCCATGGATCCAAATGGCGAATTATGATTTGGTACCTATATTTTTTATATTTTACATTTTGGTACCTAAAATTTATATTTTTATAAGAAAAATGTCATTGGAAAATTACATTTTGGTACCTAAAAATTTTCATTATGACATTTTAGTACCTAAATTTTTCAAAATTTACATTTTGGTCCAAGCTTTGGATGTCATTTGGATTCATGAATCAATCCACCAATCCATTTGATCCATGGATCCACCAATCCAATTTACGAATCCACGAATCCGATTCAATTGCCACCTCTATGCATAACCCATGGTTATGCACCCTAACTTGAGCCATTCTATTACCTCTTAGAAAGAAAAGAATTTGAATAAAAATATTTAGTAGCATGGCGATACGTCAAATATACGCGTCAAATTCACTTGTACAGTAGTTCTAATCAGAACATGAAAATATTGGGTAGCCGACCAATCAATTAACTCCAACCACTCACTAGTCACTAGTATACGCAGATGAAGCCTAGCTAGCATTCAGATGAGTGACACTGACGGCTAATGGATGTGGGTCGGCGAAGAAGCTAGACCTTAGAGAATTTGGTGGCTGGCACAGTGGCACCCATATTTTCTTCCCTCGATCAGTCCTTTCTCACAGGCCACAGCCGATTGTTATTTTTGTTTCTCACTGATTATCACTTTGTCGACTAAGCATGAGTCTAGATATCCATTGCTTCGGTTCAATTCCACTATAAGAATAGGATTGGGTCAATTTTTGTATAGTCAGTTTAGAATCATGTCTCCAACAATTATTCCAATAATTACTAATCCGATTTGACCTATGGAAGAATATGCAAACATACGTTTCATGCTTGTTTGAGTAATAGCAATGAGATTCCCCACTATCATGCTCAGAATAGCTAGGATTTCCAGAAGAAGATGCCATTCGTTTGATGAGAAATAAAAAGGAATATCGAAAATTCGAGTGGCTGAAGCTGAAGCAGCTACTTTCAAAGTATCTTTTGGCTATGTAGAGTTGGATAGGGTAGGATTATTTTTAAGCACGGTGGTCCATAGCAACCATTAGTGCTTTGGAATTTCTCATACGAACATATTAGACCTATTTGTAAAATTTTAAAACTTTGAGTACTATAATGTAAGGAAAAAATATAAAGGTACTATAAAGTACTTTTGCTACCAAAATTTCTTAGCTTGTTTGTTGAAATTAGTGATTTATGATATGGCGGTTACTGTTGATGGAACTGTTTATGCATTATAAAATAACAAATATATGTAATATACTCATTTAGAATTGAATCTATCACTAATCTTAAACAAATTCAAATCCATATCATCCATCAACAATGTTCTAACAAATAATTAGTGCTGTCCACAAAAGAAATCAGTCTTTTTTTTAAGGGCAATGTCTATTTTTTACCCAAACCTTTTTCAGATTCTTTTATTTTAACCAAACCTATAGAAATTCTATTTATTATTCAACTGTATTATAATTTATCAAAGTCTGGGCATTCATTCTGTTACCGTTACTTATTTCGTCCACGTGAGAGGTGGGATTTTGTTTTGTTTTTTGATAATCTTTTTATTAAAAATAGTAAATGATGGTATTCTGACCGCCACGTAGGAAGTCAACTCATTATGGTCATACTTAGTCAGCATTATTGATAGAAAAGTTGACGGAGAGTTAACGTTTGGATAATTTTTAGGAATTCAATAGGTTTGGTTAAAATAAAAGAATCTGAAAAAGGTTTGGGTAAAAAATAGACATTGCCCTTTTTTTAATTCAAATTATTAATTCAGGTGGCAATCGGTTACGGGTGGGCATCCGGATCGGTAAACCCGAAGCGACCCGCATCAAAACCAAACTTAGCCGAACCGAAACCGAACTACTACTATTCGGTTCGAAAATCGGAAGGAAAATGTGAATGGTTCGGAAACCAGGGTTCTTTCAACCGAATAGAGGTTCCGAGTTGCCGACCGAAAAACTGAAATTTATGTTACATTAAGCCCAAACCCAACACCCTAGGCCCAAACGAAAACTCCTAACAGTCTAAGACCAAAGAAACCCTAACTCACTAAGCCCACAACCCTCTCCTCTCTCACATCTCTCATCTTGCCGCCGTCAACCCTCTCGGCTCTCCCCTCCAGCCAGCCTCCAATCAACCACTCCTTCTCACTCGGCAGCTGGCTCTCACAACTAACCCTATACTCCATCTCCGTCCTCCGACCTGCTTCCCCTTCAATCCCATCGTCGTCGCGCTGCCGACTTTGCTTCACCAAAAATCCCTAAAAAACCCTAATTGATCGAAGAAGAAGAAGAAGAAGAAGAAGAAGAAACAAGAATAATAATAAAAAATCAGGAATCAGAAACCACGGCTACTGGCGGCTACATGCAAAAACCAGAATCAAAAGTGAGTTGGTGGTGGACTCACTTCGTCAATTGACATATGAATCTGCTTGCTCCTCGTCTCTGAATCTGCTCGCTCTCCGTCAATCGTCATTGTCGCCTAGCGCGGTGGCGCCTGCCCCTGAGTTGTTCTCCCCGTCAATCGTCGTTGCCGCCGGGGGCCGAGTCCAGAGATTGAGAGATGGGAGGAGAAAGCGTTGTGCTACGAGGGGGGAGGGGGAGAGAGAGAGAAAGAGAGAGAAGGTAAGTGGGGAAGAGAATTTCAGGTTAAAAAAAAGTGGGGGAGAGTGTTGTGTTCTTGTACCTTCGGGAATGGTCTTAAAATTGGACCGAACCGATATATATTTCGGTTCGGGTGAGCCAAATCAAAATATATCTCGGTTCGAATTCGGTTTGCTCTATGGCCTAATTCGGGAATCCGGTAATCATTTGTTCGGTTTGGTTCAAATTGAACCGACCGAATGCTCACCCCTACAATCGGTAGTTTGACCACGTAAAGCCGACAAGGAGGCTGAAAAACGAGAAAGAGGAAGCATAAATAAATTAGTAATTCATGTTAGATGGTCTTAGTTTACATTATCGTATTTATCTTCAAATTTTGTTGTGTGGTTAAAATAGTGAGTTAGTGGACCTGACAAACCACGATGGCTCATCTGATTTGATGTACGCAGCCGTTATAAACCGTTTGGTCCCTATCTACTAAGTCATCCAAACAAAAGGATCGGGCCATTAGTGTAACTCGCGTTTGACAATTGTACAGGTCCAGCGGTTGATCAGGTTCGATTCTTGTGAAAAGGATTATGAATGAAAAGGGTTTAATTTATTACATAAAAGGGAAAATAAATAGGGTACATTAATTCACTGGAAATAAATACATATTGTAAACATAGATGTTATAATACAATTGAAACTTTTTGTAATCCATATATACATACACATAGTATATATACCATAGATGGACATGAATCAAAGGTGGCGAGAACGTTGTTTAAAGAAGGAATCCACAATGATCTCGGCAGCAGCCTCGGTGGGATGAACGAAATCCCAAAACACATGATCGTTCCTGTTGTCGCAGTACATCGCAAACGGGAGGCACGGCAGCTTGGCCTTCAGATCCCCCAGCCCGCAGCACGCCGCGTTCACCTCCACGAACCCTGCCAATTAATTAAACACCGACCACCGTCAAGAGGCAGGATTAATGTATAACGGCTACCGATCAGAAACAAGTCTATGTTTATATATATATTAGTTACCGTAGGAGGCAGGGTTTTGGACGAAACTCTGGAGCACGGCGAAGGTGTCCAAGTACTCGTACGTAGCGTTGAGGCCGACGGCCCCGTCGGCTTTGAGGTCCGCCAGCACGGACTTGAGCTGCTGGTTGTACATGGCGGCCATGGCGTTGTGCGCTTCGCTGCAGTCACTGTTGCTCGATAGCACCCTCAGTTTTGGGGTGCACCCCAAGGACGGCACCCCAGCCACCACGAACCTGCGTGCCCCGTCGTCGTACAGTCTCTGCAATATCCATCGCAATAGTTCGTACATGTCGTAAAACGTGGAACATCGATCGATTAATTAATTTGCATTCGATTAGGATGTGTATTTGGAAATATTAACATGCAATATGTACCTTGAGTTGATCATTGAGGGTGAGAGCCATCTGATGAACGAACTGTGAAGGCGAGGCGGTTTGCTTTTCCAAGTTTCTGTAGTAGAAGAAAATGTCGTTGCTGCCGATCACGAAGGTGTAGACAGATTCAGATAGGAGCTTTTTCGCGTCCGTGGATCCCATCTTGGTTTCCAGTACTTGTGAAACCGACTCGTAGTAGCTTATTTGATCAGCGAGTCCAATGGCTTGGTTCTACAATATTGTTAATTAACTTGTTTGTTAAAACATGAAGCACCGGATTAGCTAGGTTTCATTAGCGATTTCTACTAGTTAATTAATTACCGGATCTTGAGCACTGCCGTTGATATGGGCGCCACCGGATGCAAAGCTGACGCCGGCCATGAAAGAAGACGCATCGTTTGCATCCAGAGCTAGATACGGCGGTGGGCTCATCGCCAATCCAAATCTCTCAGCTGCTCCATCAAAACAAACCCAGCAAGAAAAATTATTGTTATTATTGTTATTATTGTTATTATTATTATTTTTGCAGTCATAAAACGGTCACTAAGCAAATAAACATCGTCGCTAATAGATTTTTAGTAACCACGTTTATGGTGACGAGGCTTTATTTTGTCGTTGCCAAAAAGAGAGCAAGGAAGGAATATAAATGAAAACAGAGTGTTGCTTACCGAGCCAGTCGGCAGAGTTCTTGCCATTACAGAACCTCCCCGTCGGCTGGTCGTCAGACGCGAAATCAAGCCCATTGTGCTCGAAATCCGCCTTTATCAGTGAAAACGGTAAGTAATTATTATTCCCAACATCGACCAAGGAGTCGCCGAACACAAACATCGCCGTCGCCATGTCAACCCCCGGCGCCGACGAAGCTCCGCTCGACAAGCACGCCAATGCAATTGCCAGCACTACTCCACTGCTCACAACATTCATCAACATAGCTGAGCCCATCTTCATTTCCCTAGATTAATTGTTTCTTTAACTTCTTTTTCTTTGTGTTTACTGTATTGGAATATGAAGTCATAAATTCTGGGCCTCAGTTTATATAGGGCCATTTTTGTTGGAAGATCCGGACGATGGACTTCCAGTTTGGAAGGAATGGGGTCGCGTATTCGCATATGTTTGCCATTGCCGTCTGTTATGATTCTGCTGGCGAGTTGGTTTTGATTTTTGATTCGGCGGTATTCCTTTCTCTCTGCGTATATTGTTGTTTGGACGGTCTTAGAAAACAGGGTTAAGAATAGGAGGGGGCTAAGGAAACAAATTAATCGCCCTTCTCCATTACGGGACAGTTTAAGGGATTGTTGACGATTTTAATTTCGTTTACTAATGATGTTTTAGTTTCCAATCTATAGATGCTGATGTTGAAATAAGTCCAGTACTAGTGTCCAAAATTGTCCAAATTGAATTTAGGCAGTATACCTAAAATGCGTGAGCAGGCATCCAAAATCTAAGTATCAATCACACGCGACACAATAATTTATGTTCTTTATGCTATTCGACGTGAATGACCTTATATTTAAATAGACCGTGTGTTCTTCAGAATGATTTTAGTCAAGGATGAGTTATGATGATGTTATTCTTTTAATGACGCTTGAGACGTGAGAGCACTTACAACCCATGAAACCTAACTTATGCTTTGCAAATATTTGGTTTATCTTTTCAGTAACACAATTCGTCATAAGACATCTTCCCTCAGGTCATTAACAAAAATATTTTTAGGACTATTAGAAGGATAAAGATAGGATGGAGATCGATGTGTATCAACAAGTTGCCTTCGATCAAATATTTATATGCTTAAATAAATTATAATATAAATAGCGCCTAATTGGTATAAGGGGTCTGGTGGGCTACACAGAGGTCCACCGTAAGAATCTGTGCACCCTTTTTATCCGTGCTAGGTTATATTCTTCCTTCTCACGTGTCTTCCCTACGTCATAGGAATGGTGATTAACCAAAGTTTTAACCTATTTCAATCCAGCTAGCGTGAACGACTACGCACAGACCCATTGGCGGCTGCCCGAATTTCCACCGGTGCCGAGTTTCACCCATCCCTTCCTCTCCAGTTTTCACCTTACCTTTAGCTGATTCTGCGATTGAAGGAAAAAGCTTCCTATAAGAGAAGAGGGTGCATTAATTATATTGGGTTCGCATCCCCATCTCCGGTACGCCTTCCGTTAGTATACCATATGTACATCCTCTTTTTCTATCCCGAGAATTTTTCGACCTTTCTCTCCGATGACTGTTGGCGACTAGGCAACTAGTCTTTTACTTCCATCTTCGATTCTCCCGATCGAGGATATATGAGAAGCATACCCCAATTCATAGACAAGCTAGCGGCGACTGTGACCCTGTTATTCACTCCTTCCCTCCTTTCTTCACCCGTTTCCTCAGATGGTCGGATTGGCGGCTAGGCAAGCAGTGGTTGAATTGCTAGAGAGGCAACATGCAACGGAATGGATCCAAGTTATGAATTGCATATCGATTGAAAATGGGATCCATTATATTACTATATATCTTCCAGTCTTCCTTCTCACGGCCCAAGTATCAGAGGCAACATGCAAGGGAATGAATGGAAGTTATGCGGCCAAGTGTCAATGGCCATCTATCCATTTGTAGAGCAAGGAATTGCTACGTGGCCTATAATGGGAATGGGAGTGGGGTTCTTGCGTGGTTTCACTCCACCTTAATTGACTATAAAAAATGGATTATGTCGAATTAGGTAAATGGAGATCGATCTAAGATTACACACCATATATAGTAGGCTGTCGATCGTTCTATAATTCTTTTCACCAATCCGCTCTCATGTCTTCCAATACCTACATTTCCTTTCCAACTTCATGAAGCTTATAGTTTTCCAAGTTTTCTATAATGGAAGGGAAGCGATTGATGTCACGGGTTTGCACGAGGGAAGGTTTGTGATAACAAAACAAGGGGATTAATATAATAATAACTATAATATATGGAAGTTATGCGGCCAAGTGTCAATGGCCCTCTATCCATTTGTAGAGCAAGGAATTGCAACGTGGCCTATAATGGGAATGGGAATGGGGTTCTTGCGTGGTTTCACTCCACCTTAATTGACTATAAAAAATGGATTATGTCGAATTAGGTAAATGGAGATCGATTTAAGATTACACACCATATATAGTAGGTTGTCGATCGTTCTATAATTCTTTTCACCAATCCGCTCTCATGTCTTCCAATACCTACATTTCCTTTCCAACTTCATGAAGCTTATAGTTTTCCAAGTTTTCTATAATGGAAGGGAGGCGATTGATGTCACGGGTTTGCACGAGGGGAGGTTTGTGATAACAAAACAAGGGGATTAATATAATAATAACTATAATATATAAAAAACAATAAAGTATTAATAAAATTCAGGGTTAATACAATTTAATAGACAAACCTTTCATTTTAAACAAAATACTAGCCAAACCTTTTCAAAAACAATTTAATAGCCAAACCGTCAACTTTCCATACGGTCAACCGTTAGTTGACTCTAACGTGGCAAAATGTTTAATAAATTTTCAATGACGTGGCAAAAAGTAAAAAATTTGACTTGCCACATGGATATACCAAAAATTAATTTATGTTTAGAAAAGAAAATAAATTAAAAAGCCACTAAAAAATAGCCACCACTCTATTATCTCCTTGCCTGTACTTCGCATCCCCTTCTCTCCAATCTCCATCGAAACTCCATGCTTCCATTTCCAATCCTCCAACGAAACCCAACCATCGTTGCCCACCGTAGAACCAAAAGCCTCGCCGCCGTTACCTAATCCCTACGTTGTTGTCGACACCTACCACCCAAGCCAACGAGCTATTGCTGACAATTACTCGAACGCTACATAGAATCGCCAAACGTGCAACGCTTGCTTTGATTCCACAAACGAGCTTACATCTTTCTCACCTTTCAACAATACGAAGAGAATGAAAATAGAAATCCCCAGCAAACCTGGGTTGCCTTGAACAGACTCAATCCACTTTGAGAATGCCAAATCAACTCCACTCCTGTTGCCGCCACTCCCCTCCACACCATCCAAATCTAAACAAATTAAACTGAAACCCATTTATCTATGTCCCAAACTAAGAGAATCAAAAGCTAAATCCAATCAATATATTGCCCAAATCCAATTCCCCAAATCCCCTACTCTTCCTCGCTTCCAAATTCCCTGTGGCTCTTCCTCTGTTATCCCTTTCCTTCCCCTCGCTCTTCCTCGCTTTCGATTCCCCAAATCCAAACTGCTTAATCGCTCTAGCAATCGTCGGCGACGCCATTTAAGAACGACGGATCGAACTGGAGTGTCGAATCTTTGCTTGTTTCCATGGAAGGAGGTAGGTGAAAGCATGACGGGAGGAAGCGGAGGTTCTCGGACGATGAGGTGGTTGCTGCTAATGAAAAAGTTTGGGAGATATCGAGGATTTCGAAGTTTCTTGGCCGGAGAAGAGAGAGGGGAGGAGAGGGGAAGGGATGGAGAGTGTTCCATTATTGTCTTTTTATTTGTTTTAATAATAAATAATTAGTTTAAAATATGTATGTGTGGCACAGTTAAATAATTGTCATTGCCATGTCAGCACGAATTAGCCACACAAGAGTCAACTAACAGTTGACCAGATAGAAAGTTAACGGTTTGGCTATTATTTTGTTTTTTGAAATGTTTGGTTATTCTTTTGTTTAACCGCAAAAGGTTTGGCTAATATATTGTATTTACCCTAAAATTCAGCACACTTAGAAACAAATAAATACATACACAGAGAAAACACAAATAATTTTTGAAAGTTAAAGCAACATGTTTGTGGGAATTGTATTGACAAATTTAGGATGATCTTATCCAATTATAACGGTTTCAAAAAAAATTTATAAGATATTTGTTTTCTCGAATGAATCCAATATGTTGATGGTTCTATCTTATAGCTGATTGCAAGGGTGGTGTTTTAAATTTTCTCAATTTATAAAAGAAAGAATAAGGTTGTAACTTGGTTATAGTTGGTTTAAATAAATGGTTAAATACACTTGTATATCCAAGAGTATCACGTTTGTGCCAATAATATCCAAAAAACCGGAAATACCACTTATATCCAACTCCGTCACATTCTTTGACGGTGTTAATGTTAATGTTGATTGGACAAACGGTGGTGCTTACGTGGCGAACGCTTATTTCCCAATTCCTCTTAACTTATCCACGTGTATAGCTACTTAATATTATTTAAAAAATTAAACAAAAAAATTTTCAATTGACTCCATCTGACCTCATCCTTGACTCGACCTAACTTTCTACCCTTCTGAATTTTTCCATCGACCAACCCCTAACCCTTCGGCTGTGGAGGGCGACGAAGGCGACGAAGGAGAGGGATTTTGACGAAGGCGACGGAGGAAGACGACGGCGACGGAAGAAGACGAATGCGACGGAGAAGGACGAAGGCAGCGACCCCCTAATCCGTCGTATCCCCTGATTTTCCTTCATCCTTCGTCGATCAACCTTCTCGCCCACCTTCGAAGAAACCCTAATCGCGACGAACCCTGGTAAGGATAGCAACAACCAAATGTACCCAATTGCTTGGGCAGTTGTAGAGGGAGAAAACACAAACTCATGGATGTGGTTTGTGAACACATTAGCTCAAGATTTGGAGCTTCGGGATGGTAGGGGGTGGTCTGTCATATCGGACCAGCAAAAGGTAGGACCCAATTGCCTTTTAAATTCCATTAAATTCAATTAAATTCCACATGCATTATTTCTAACACTGTTTTTTACTTTGCAGGGGTTAGTGGAGGCATTACATGACTTGTTACCCGAGGCCGAGCATCGTAAGTGCGCAAGGCACGTGTATGCTAACTGGAAAGTCAAGAACAAGACAGATAGGGTGAGAAAGCTTTTCTGGAAAGCAGTATACTCTTGCAATGAGGTTGATTGGAAGAATGCCACAGGCGAAATGGAAGGTATTGAAGGTGAGGAACATGGTACAACCCCCTTCACTGATTTCATGAATGCAGAACCTAGGTCCTTTTGCCGTGCATTCCTGTCTACCTTACCAAAGTGTGACTCGGTTGAATCTAATATTTGTGAAACTTGGAATGGGGTGATTGTCAAGTATAGGGGAATGCGAATCATTGACATGTTAGAGGGAATTAGAGGGTATGTTATGGATAGGGTTGTTGTGAAGTATGAGATGATGTTGAATTGTACCGATCTGTTATGCCCTAGAATTAGAAAAAGGATAGAGAAGGAAAAGGAGGTGGCAAGGTTATGCACTGCAAGACAAACTTTGCATGATAAGTGTGAGGTCAAGATAGGTGCTGCAGGTTACATAGTCGACCAAACTACTAGATCTTGCACGTGTGGTTATTGGTCGTTGAGTGACATTCCTTGCTGCCATGCCGTCTCTGCGATCTCCCACTTGAGAAAGGACTTGGACAGCTACGTGCATTCCAATTACTATGTGCACAACGCCGAGCACGCCTACAAAAACGGCCTCCCATGTCTTGAAGGGAGACAAGCTTGGCCTGCTGCTGAGGGCATTCCAGTGTTCCCACCCAAACAACGAAGTATGCCTGGAAGGCCCCAAAAAAAAACAGAAGAAAGGCATCCCATAAGCGAGAGGTTCGACCGCAACGGAATCGTGAAGGAGAGGAAGTTGCAAGACGTGGTTCAATCATGCATTGCTCCAAATGTGGCTCAGAAGACCACAATGCAAGATGTTGTACTGTTCCTACTGTCGCGAGAGGCATGGTAAGATGTTATTTATAGCGTATTGTTTAGATTCCTTCATTGATAGTTAATCCCGATGCCTAACATTATCTTATTGATTGATAGAGAACGCGTGGTAATAGGGCTGCTACTGATACCCCAAGAAACACAGCTCCTGCAACTCGGAGAACTGTCCCTAGAGATGGAGAAGGCATGGTCAACACAAGAAGTAGTAGGGGAAAGCGACCAGCCATGATACCCCAAGAAACACAGCTCCTGCAACTCGGAGAACTCGTGTTGGCCATTGCTCCAAATGTGGCTCGGGGAATCATAACGTCAGAACCTGTCATCTGAATCGAGGGGTTGGAATCCAAGTAAGCTATCTACATGAATGATGAATTATGTATGCTATGATGAATTATGTATGCTATGAATCCAAGTAAGCTAAAGTATATGGAATGGTTGCATAGGATGTTAGACTCAATGTTAGCGATCGAAGAACGATTGAACGCGAGTTACGAATTGCCACATCCGGGATAGGAGTATATGTTAACGAGACTACCGGTAACCAATACGTTAGAGTGAGTACCTGCTTTCTCAATAATGAATAGAACATGTTATTTTTGTATGCACAAAAGCTTATTTTAACATGACATGGTTTCAGCTCAATGGCACTCAAGGACGGCCAGTTCGAGGCTCTCAACCCACTGAGATCGAGATGCATGGTAGCCAGCCCCCCAACACTCAACCTTAGACGGATAAAGGCTTTATTTTTTGTGATAGGCCATTAAGCTACCTCACTAGAGGTCATTTTGTTTAGCTGACTCGTGTAATGGCCGATTTCTATTATCGGATGCTATGTAATTATGCACAACAAGTTAGTATCGATGTGTTGGAGCTGACTGTTATGCTTCAGAATCTTGGACTACTCTGTAATGAATAGGTATTTAGCATCTCAGATTGGAGCTGACTATTATGCTTCAGAATCTTAGACTACTCTGTAATGAATAGGTATTTAGCATCTCATATTGGAGCTGACTGTTATGCTTCAGAATCTTAGACTACTCTGTAATGAATAGCTATTTAGCATATCAGATTGGAGCTGACTGTTAGGCTTCATAATCTTAGATTCCAGTGTAATGAACATCTATTTAGCATATACGATTGGAGCTCATGTTTGGAAGCTCATCAACTACAACAACTTAAACTATTTAACTCATTTAAGAAAGATAACACAACTACCTTGTGTTTAGCATATCAAATTCGAAGCTCGTAAACTACAACAACTATATTTGACAGCAAACCTGGTGCTTGCACAACTCCCTTGTGTTTAACATCTCATCTAAGATACAACAATCACCTTTCTCATTGAAGCAAACCTAGTACAATACAACTACTTCTACATAACAAACTCGTGCTGCCACAAAAGAACAAGCAATATGAAATTCACTACAACAACCACTGTGAAATGATATCGGATTAGACGGATGTCATGAGCCAATCTCCTTCCTTCAGCCAGCATAACTTCTTGAGTCTTCATCAACCTTGACAACTCTTCAACCAAAATTCCATTCTCCTTCTTCCTCCTTTCTGCTTTCGACTTGGCTATCCGCAAATTTTCCTCGAGCTTCAGCTGAGAACTCCCAATTGTAGAGGTTTCTTCATCCACTTCATCAACCATCCCATGTACCCACCTAAAGAAACCGCAGTTCTTTTTCTCGTTCTGCACCATAAAAGGCAACCTCAAAAAGCACATTCACCAAAGGCAACCTCAAATACCAAAAACCACCTTACCTTCCAATATCGGGACCCATAGAACTGTCTGCCTGGGTTCATTTCCGTACCAGAGGTATTAACCACACAGGCCACGTTGTGTTTGCAAACTAACAACCCATGACCTTGTGTCGAAGTTGAAGAAGAACATCTCTTCGACATGGCGAAACGTCGACTAAATTCAAATGCAGAGACGAGAATCAACAAAGAAGTTAATCGCCTACGACAAATGGAAAGCTGGGTCTGCAAATCGCTTTTGTCGTGAATCTGGGTCGCCGATCGCCAATCGCCTAATCCGCCAGAATCGCAGCAGTCGCCAAATCGCCAGAAACCACGAATTCGAAATCTTCACTCGGCGACCCAATCTTCAATCTTAGGGAGTATATAGAGTCGGCGGGAGGATCTTAAATCGCCTGGAGGAGGCTCAGTCGGCAGGAGGAGATTTTGTCGCCGCCAGGGTGCTAATCCTAAAAACGAAAGGAGAAAGGGATTTCGGAGCAACCTCGTTGTTCGTCGTCAGTGGTAATATGTGGGATTAGATTAAAAAAAAATTGATTTTTTAATTCATTCTTACGTGGCACTTTTGGCGTAGTTGGCGCTTACGTGTCTGCATAGTTGGCGTACAATCAGCTTGCCGTCAGCTATGTTGACGGAGTTATTAACGCCGTCAAAGCATTTAACGGAGATGGATAGATTTGGCAAAGAACAACTTTAAAACATGGATATAAGTGGTATTTCCGGTTTTTTGGATATTATTGGCACAACCGTGATACTTTTGGATATACAAGTGTATTAAACCTAAATAAATTGATTTAGATATCTCACGTTGTTGTTTCGATTAATCTACAACTTTGAAAAAGTTATACCCATGGTAGCAGGGATTTTTAATTTTTCCGGTAGAATATGGAAGCAACTTATTAATAACATTGCTTCATAAGTATTGAATGCAAAGCTATAGAGAAGTTAAAATTCTTGATTTTCCATCGAACTACCGGAATTTTATGTTTGGTAAGGCTATTCACTTGCCAAGAGCTTGCCGTTGTACAAATATGTCGTTTTTAGTTTGAATGCACAAGGTTCACTTTGAAGCCTCTTGAACAACAAATGGAGAACGTATTTTGTAATTAGCTTCCCATTATAATGAGATATCTTACACCTTCAATCACTTGAATGAATTGGTGGAATAAAAATATTTTCTTCTAACTCATGTATGATATTTCTACATCAACATGAACTCTATGAGTTGTTCATAAAAGGTGTAGCTAGATGTCCAAATCACTGGTGGAAGGAAAGTATTTTATTCTAATTCATTTGGGACTATCAAGCTTTATTTATTTCTAGATGTTTAACCATGTAAGTTTGTTTATTTTTACTGACGATGATTTCACCATATATGTAGTTTGTTTTTTTTTTTGTAACTAAATCTTTGTTCAGAATGTACAAGAGAACACTGATCAACAAATGCAATTTAAGTCTAAACTTTATAGTATTGTTGGTATATATATTGAATCACGGTTCAACCACGATTTTAGTACAAAATACATATCACTAACTTTTCAGTACGATTTTAGGACAAAATACATTTCACTAACTTTCCCAGTATATCTTTCGGTAACCCGCCGCAAAGCGCGGGCCAATTATCTAGTTTACTTATCAATATCTTGAGAATAATAACATCAAATACTGGCCAACAATATAATCCCGATTACCTATTAATAAAATAAAAACCAGAGTCCTAATTTCTCCTTGTTACACGAAACCGGGTAGCTAGTTTCCTTTAATTTCTTGTCTATGGGTGTAGGCTCGCTACTTTTATGATTTATCTGTACTATATATGTGTGTTTGCCTTCTTCTCTATGTTGTCCATTCGTTTAGTTTTGCGCTTTTGTGCCCTTCAGACAGCAATCAACTGCTTGATATTAGTGGGGAAAGTGTATTTGCCAGTCGGACCATCATAGAAAGCATCAATGAGAAGTTGAGCAGCTGCTTCTGTAGGGTGAAACATGTCCCAGAATACATGATCCCTCCGGTCGGAGCAGTATGACGAGATCGGTATGCACGGCACCATTGCCCGCAAGTCTCCCAGCCCACAGCAAGCCGCCTTCACCTCCCGAAACCCTGCAGTAGTACTCTCCCAGCAAAAATGTGTAACTATCTTTCCAACACAAGTTGCTTATATTATTTAGATGTCAGAAGATTGAAAATCAGCGTACCGTAAGGGGCAGGGTTGAGGATCATGTTGTATAGCATGGAGAAGGTGTCGAAGTAGGAGTAGGAGAAGTCCTTCCCGAACTCGGATTGGAGTTTCTGCAAGGTTGACTTGAGTTGCTGATTGTAGAATGTGGCTAGGGAATTGTGGTCCTGGTCACAGTCTTGGTTAGCGCTGTCCTTGAGCCTCTCCCTTGGCGAGCAACCCAGCGGTCCGACCCCTGCCAGGACGAACTTACGAGCCCCGCTCAGGTAGAGTTGCTGCGGGAAACATAGCAGAAATCAAAATGTTAGCTCGTAAAATTCCGAAAGAGATTAAAGATGGTGCAAATTTTGTATGGCGAGATTGTGCTAAGTTTAATTGATTGCCTTGAGGTGGTCTTTGAGAGCTGTAGCCATCAATTTGGCGAATGCCTGTGGTGGGGTGCTCTGTTTCCAGGCAGAGGAGGAGTTGGAGTAGTCAAAAATGTCGTTGCTGCCGATTACAATGGCAAAGATCGACTTGGTGAGGTGGGTTTGTGCGGCTGAGGATCCCATTTGTTGAATCAGTGACTGGTAAACGGAATGGTAGTACTCCATTTGCTTTGTCATGGGGATGGACTGCCTCTGAAAATATAATATTCAATAAACAAGAAATAATTAACATCAAGCGGGGATAGCTCAGTTGGGAGAGCGTCAGACTGAAGATCTGAAGGTCGCGTGTTCGATCCACGCTCACCGCATATTGTTTTTTTTTACAACTAAAATTTGACTGACATTTTAATTAAGCAGGCTTCCTTTTCAGTAGGCCCAAACTATAAGTGGACAAACATCAGTCGCGTGGGCTTCTAATTAAGCAGGCTTACTTTTCACTTCTATATTTATTTTGTATTTTGGGGAGAGATTTCACTTACCAGAGTTTGGTCGCTGCCGTCGAAGATGCCGGCGCCGCCGGACGCGAAGCTGACGCCGGTAATGAAAGAAGACGGGCTTTTCGATTTCACAGCCAAGTAAGGTGGTGAAGTTGGCAGCCCCAATTTATCAGCTGGTGAATCAATAAACCGCCAGGAAAAACAAACAAATAAAGACATAAATTAAACGATATATACCCGGCCGGCTAGCTGCATGCTATATAATTAGGTGGTATTATATTTGTTACCGGAAAGTGCCATTAATTAAACTTGGTAGCTAGAACATGCATGCATAAAGCTTTTCTGAGACAAAAGAATATGATACCATGTTGGTAACGACCACACAGTGCCAAACTAGCTAACGAACTATAGTTTATCGGTCCACGGGACATTAAAAAAATAGAATTATCGTACCTCATAATATGAAAGAATCCCAGAAAAGAACAGAACAGAACACATACTGCACTGTGTTCCTAGTAATCAAAGAATCTAATGCTTAATAATGTTCCATTTTGGGTGCTTTACTAATTGCCACTTTCGTCTCTTTACAGTGCATGAGTTTGGAGGATTCCTTAGGGGCGGAGGAAAGTGATTAAGCAAACAACTACACATGGGCAGAGCCAGTTAATTAGGTTCTTACTGCTAATTACAGTAGTAATTGCGATAGGTTACCCATTCCATTAGATCAGAGTTTAGACTTTAGACGCAAACCAACAAGCCATGTTTTTTTCCTTTTTAAAGCCGAGGCAGAATAACACAAGTACACAGCATATATACGGTTACGTTTATTCACTTTGATGTAATTACTAAGTAAGTTTCTCTGGTAATTAATCCTGTTTCGGCTAATTACGTGGAGATATAGATCATCACATGTCTGGTCCAAAGAAAAGGATAATAAATGGGAGATACTAACGCATGCACCAACATCCGCCCATGACTTGGTTGCTAGTGGCAGAACAAACAACCGCAATAAATGAAGACAAATTAATGACCCACGTACTTTTACATTTAGCAACCAGACGGGTAATCGTGGTTACTAAAAGAGTGGCATCAAGCTGCTGTCCGTCACCAGTTTAGAGAGTTATTTGAGCTATACCATGCACTACTCAGTGTGATTTTCCAGAAGAAGTTGATAAGTATTAGCTAGCTAGGTTGGGAAATTGGAAATATATGAAAAGATGGATGGAAGACGATCGAGATGCTTAGCTTACCGAGCCAGTCGGCGGCGTTCTTGCCGTTAGAGAACCTCCCCGTGGGTTTGTTGGTGGGGAAGTCCATCCCATTGTGAGGGAAATCCGCCTTGGCCAGCGACACCGGCAAGTGGTTATTGTTGCCAACGTCAACCAGGGAGTCGCCGAAGACGTACACGGCCGGCACCATCTCACCCTCCGACCCCTGCTGCATCAGCAGGGAGCTGACCACCAGCAAAAGCGGCACCAAACTAGTCGCCGGCAAACCCATCTGATATTGAGAAGAGCCGATCGAGCAAAAGTAACCAATAAGCAACCAAAGGAGGTTGAGAATTGAGCTTAAACTCAAAGCTGATGCCTTTTTATATCCATCAGCAGCAGGATGGCCAGATTTAATTAATGATTTGTTTGTATATGAAAAGGAAGAGCTAGGTGTGAACATAAGCTAAGCTAAAGCGAGCATATATATGAGTGGTTCGGACAGGATGGTGGGTTGGCCGGCCCCGCATTAAATCGTCCCATTCTGAAATTGTGGTGCGGGTGCCCCATTGCGCTCGTCCTGGCCTGCAGGTTAGCTAGTGTAGTGGTCTGATTTTGCGGGTCAAATTTACCCCATCAAAATACGATTTTGCCTGCCTGTGCGTGCTGATTGTATGTAGCCCAAGCGTAATATAATAGTAGAATCTACCAATTCCGTTGTTGATATTTTGTAGTTTGGTTGTAAGAAAAGTGTGTTACTTGAACCAAAAAACGATATATGAGGGGGTTCACAGATTTATAGTGAGCTACTGAACTTGTCACATATAGCTTTTATCTCCAGAGGAAAAGATAGGTGATAATTAGGGGGTTTTATGTACTATGTTAAAGTTAATTCGGTGATTAGATGGAAGAACTCCTACATTTAGAAGTTCATGTCTAAATGGGTTTACGGTTTAGATAAATGCATTATTTGTTTTTTAGATTTATCCTTGATAGGTTGGGCGGTCAGCATTCGATAACCAATTGTTGAAATTCGATAACTCTGAATCATGAGATCAATATAACTGAATGACATTGATTGGCCATAAAAAAAAATGGGTGACTAATGACGAATTCCAACAATGGATTGAGGATACCAAAAATTGACTTAGCAATACGGGCAATTATAGATAGATTTTAGTGTCCAATTTCAAGATTCAGGAAATTTGTCGAAAAGGACCAAGTGAATGAGAGTTAGAAAGAGATGTATATGAACGCAACATATGTATTCTCATGTTACCAGGGGGCACGAGCACGAGCACGACACTGGCTGACCTTGACAAAAACCACACCTTAATCCAGGACCTAGCTACATTTAATTTGTACCAAATTCCACCACCCGATTCCGAATTACTGATCGAGGAGTCCCCCAAACGCGTACGTTTCATTTTCCCAGCGAAGGAAGACGGCTTAGTTTCCCCACTAGCAACAGTGACTGAAAATGTGCGTAAGACACGGTGCTTGACTTTATCGAAAGGACTAATAAGCGTATTAATGGGTTCTAATTAGTCCTTTTTTTTTCTTTCCCCGAGCCAGGTTAAAAGCCTCCTCTCTGGAGATTCACCTGGTCCTATTCCTATTTTGGTATCGTTATTGCAATCCACGTCAATCAATTCCATACGCACATTCTCGTCTCATGCAAGTGTCCCTCAACCATGGGTCCGATTTCGTGTGTGTGAATCATTTTCGCTGGCATTTTCCTTGATGACCTTATAACGAGTCCACACTGACGATGAACATGCCATTAATTATTCTAGTTCTATATGCTGATCATTGTTCTAAGTTGACAAATTGCATTGCACAGTGAAATAGAATAGTTAGTAGATTCGTGTTCTTATCTTTCTCGATAGTTTATATGGTGATTATTGGCATGCAATTAGAACATTTGATTGAGACGTAATCATGGTTACTTTTAGCAAAATTCCGATTGGTATCGCTTCGCGTATCAGAAAAATAAATATTTTCAAAGTTATAGTTTTTAATGTTGACTCAAACGTGAAAGTAATCTTATTTCATTCTTAATTATTCTTTTTATAGGTTTGTTATTTACAATAGGATATGGTCGATCAACTTGCATAAGGTATAAGGGTCGTCGAATAGATTATTTATGTTTAAACTTCTTTCATGATGTTAATGTTTCCATTTGTATGGCTAATAGTTGATCATGCTGTAACTTTTGCAAAATAAATAAGTTTTTATGGATCTTTTCAAAAAGTATTAAAAAAAAATTGTGGACTATTTAGATGGAAAAAATGTCAGAATTACTTTCTAATATAAGAAGTGATGGAAAATGACTAAAAAATTATTTCTAACATAAATTATGAATACAAATTCAAAAAATTATTTAAAATAGGTCACGTTAGATTTATTTCATATTAAATAATATTATTTTTCAATTTATATTTTTATAATGATATAAATGAAAGAAAATTATGTTTTCTAGAAAAAGAATAATATATGGTAAAAGCAATTTTTTATTTCAAATCGGAGCTTGTACTTTTAAGTTACGTAAAAATTCAGTTTTCTAAAAAAGTGAAACTTTAGAGGTCTTTGGCTTGGCTTCAACTTTTGAAACAGAAAACTTCTAAAATTCAGGCCAAACATAGTCGTACTCTTTTGGCTTTCTAGTTTTTGGGTTTGAGGTAATCGTGGTTCTCCTTTATGAAAGTTTTGGACTAATTGAATGTTTGAGAAGGTTTAACTCGCATTGATCGGGTCAAATTAGGTTGGATACCCATGGGTTTGGGTTCAATTGTCTTTCTCAAACAAAAGGAAAAAGCAAAATGAAAAACACTAAAGCTAAAACTCGCTACAGACTCTGATGAGGTCATCAAAAACAAGTCCATTTCGTCACAAGAGGGGCCAATTACACGTCTACAAGCAAAGAGGTTAAGGGAGGAGTTTGCTGCCTATTTGGATCGTCACTTTGCTCAAAAGGACGTGGATCATCATCATGGGAAGACCATTACATTGCTACAACTCGTGGGCCAGCATGAAGGAAGAATGGGCTTGGAAGGAGAAGAGGATTCGGCTAAGGAAGAGGAGGGGAGTCTCAAGTGTGAAAAGGATCAAGGTGGGAACACAAGGGAAGGATAGAACCTAGGGAGTTGTTGACCAAGTCTTTTACTTGTCTTTTAAGGATTGTGTTTTCCTTTTACTTGTCTTTTAAGGATTGTGTTTTTTCCTTTTACTTGTAGGATTTGTTTTTCATTTTAAGCTTTGGATTTGTGTTAGCTAGTCTATAAATAAGAGGCTGAGTTCCTCATTGTAACTCATTCAATTATCAATCAACTTTCAAGTTACAATTTCATACGAACTAGTTCTTTGTGCAAGCTTCTGTTGAGAGTGCTCCAGGAGTTTCACGTGTCTCTTATCAACTAGAGAACGCGTCTAGGATTGTGTTTTTTCCTTTTACTTGTAGGATTTGTTTTTCATTTTAAGCTTTGGATTTGTGTTAGCTAGTCTATAAATAAGAGGCTGAGTTCCTCATTGTAACTCATTCAATTATCAATCAACTTTCAAGTTACAATTTCATACGAACTAGTTCTTTGTGCAAGCTTCTGTTGAGAGTGCTCCAGGAGTTTCACGTGTCTCTTATCAACTAGAGAACGCGTCTAGTTGTGGCGAGCTTCTATCCAATAGCGATTGGCCTTATTCACGAGTGGGTGATTGTTTGATTGGTTTCATATACCAATTGGCCTTTCACACGAGTTGGAATCTGTTTGATCGTGTTCCATCATTATCTTTTGTTCGAGTTCTTGTTCGTTGGAGAAAAGCTTCGAAAACCCATAAAAAGTAGGAAAGCTGCGTCCTTTGGTCACATCAGACTCAAAACTTGTCAACACCAGGTTCAAATCGCTTTGACCTGGTTAGATCGAGTTTTAGACAAATTCACACCTGACACAACACGCCAATTACAAAAATAGATAAAACTCGCCCCCGTCGAAAACCTATAAAATCGGGTGCAAGTCGCTTTGGTCGGGTCGAATTAGGTTGTATACCCATGCGTTTAGACTCAATTGTCATTCTCAACCAAAAGGAAAAAGATAAAAAAAAATACTAAAGCGGATAAAATCTGCTCATGACCCCAAACTCTTAACACTACGTTCAACTCGGTTTGACCGGGTTGACCCAGTTTTAAGAAATTCACATTTTGCCCAACTTGTCAATTACTAAAGCGGATAAAACTCGCTCACGATACGAAACACGTCAACAATGGGTCAGAGTTCAATTGTCATTCTCAACGAAAAGGAAAATGAGAAAGAAAAAATCATTAATACAAAAATCGCTTTCGATCTAAAACTAGTCAACAACGTGTTCAACTCGCTTTGAACAATTTGTTAACAAAGATCTTGGTCCAACCTGCCAACTACAAAAGCGGATAAAGCTCTCTCACAATACAACACTCGTCAAAACCTTAGATTCAAGTTCAATTGTCTTCCCAACCAAAAGAAAAAAAGAGAAATTTATAAATGCCAAAGTCGGCTTCAAGTCGCTTTGACTGGATCGAATTAGGTTGGATACCCATGGATTTGCGTTCAATTGTGATCATACTCAACAAAAAGGGAAAGTGAAAGAAAAAAATACTAAAGCGAACGAAACTCGGTCCCGATACAAGACTTGCCAACATTAAGTAGATATGGTATGGATTTTTTGTAGCGACATTGGTTCAATTGTGATCATGCTCAACAAAAAGGAAAAAGAGAAAGAAAAAAACACTAAAGAGGATGAAACTCGGTCCCGATACAAAACTCGGTCCCGATACAAAACTCGGGGTAGCGGCCTTGGGAAACGATGATGGGGAACAACTTAGGATGCTAGCGAAATTATTTTGAGATGGGCTGCAAAAGGGTGCGCAAAGGCGATGCTTTGTGCAAAAAGTCATAGACAAAAACCTAGCGAACAATAACTAAACACAAATATTGTAGAATGGAGAGTTGGCTAAAAGGACTTGGAACTGGGACAGGTTACGGTTACTACTTTGTAGTAATCACCATGGTATAAAGGTTAAGGGTAAATTGGATAAGAAAAAATAAATTATATTAATTAATTTTTTAATAAATTTCAATTTAGATAGTTACAAAAATCTATTAATTACAATTTTTTCTCTTTATCTCACTTTCGTAATCTCCAGCCAAATCCTATTCTCTTATTTTTCTCAATCTTTCTGCAAAAGAAAAAAAAATACGAATCACTACCAATACATTAGACAACCACTACCACTTTGAGAAGCATCAATACCATTGCATAAATAAATTTATACCATTACACGAAGAGAGAGAGGGGAGAGAGGAATGGGAGGGGTGGGGAGGGCTGCAAATGAGCCGAGCTGCTCGCGAGCGGCTCGATGTTCGACTCGAGAAAAGCTCGTTCGAAACTCGGCTCGTTAATAAACGAGCCGAACATGAGCTAAGCTTTCTTCAG